ATTTTCCTAAAGTGGAAAGACACTAACTAATAGATACGTTCAAATAACGTTTAACTGTTTGTACAAACCAAAAAAAGAAATCGGTTACACAACATAAGATGAATCAAACAAGATAATCTAAATTAAACGATGTAACAATCATATGTATAAAGAAAAATAAATTAAATTAATTGTACAACAAACATTACTCACTACGAATTTGTCATACCTACAGCATATCATTATAAATATGCCTCTATTCAAGTCGAATTTTCTTTTCTTTAAACGAATTTTACTTTTTTGTAAACTCCAAAATAATAATCATAAACAATGGTTTTTAATCGAAAACTAGCCGTGTCAAGAAAGGAAGATTCTTATTAGACCAATACAAAACAAATCCTTTTGATGATAGAATTGCCCAATTACCACCATATCTTTAGTCCGAGAATTTTTCCGCAAATTTTTAAACAAAATTTTTGTTCAAAAAGAACCATATTTGTTTGCGAATATCGAGATTTTTCCATTGGTGAAAAAAAGATGCAATTTATAAATTAGATAGGGGTAAATAATTTTTTTTTAATTTTCTGTTCAAGAGGCCATATTGTTTATCATATTGTGCAATATATTTTAAACATTGGTGATTTGTCTTTCATATTATTGGTTTCGTACTAATAACCCCCTCAAAAAGGCAACATTCTATTGGACTCAATAATGCCTTTAAAACTATACATTTTTGCGAGTTACCATGCGGTGAAAAATGATTAGTGAATTGTAAATAGGGGATTTTTTTAAACAAAAGAATTTTTTGTTCAAAGGAAATTGAACCACCAGAATAATGCGATATGGTAGGTCTTGGACTGAATTATGTGCATCCTAAATTATCTGTAATTTCATTAACCAAACAAATTTCTCAATTAGAAGTAAGAAATATTAAATGCCAATAAATCATAACACGTTTTAAGATGATGAAACCGGGACAAAAAGGTACTCAAAATGAATTTTTTGAAATATAAATACCCATCCCATCCTCCGGGAGGATTTTTTTTTTCTTCGTCAGAAAAATTGACTCCGAATTGATTTTTTTGTCACAGATAAGCTTATAATAATGCTTTCTAATAAAAAAAATAATATTGTCAACAAAAGAAGAAGAAGAAGATGTTTGTTGGAACAATACAAACTTTGGGTAGATTCTCTTCTTTATAGAATGACACATTTGACGATACCACAAATTATGCCCGCTGGCAACCCATACAACCAAAACGCGGCCGAATTTTATGGGGGCTTTTCCTTCTAGTAAATTCCCTTTCGTAACGATTACTCTTATTCGTGAACCTTTTTTTTTTTTTTAAAAAAAAAAAATCTTTTTATTACGTAAAAGAACATTCGGAATTAAACAAACACAAATATCGATTTATCAAAAATACGTTATGATACCTGATTGTACTATCCAATTAAATCCACATTTTAGCTTTATTTGTCAAGGAGACACGCTCGTAAGTGTCAACCCAGTTGTTCACTCGCAGAATACGTCACCTCGCCTAGATAATGTATTAGAACGTTTCGATTTTAGGGCAACCTTTTCCCAGATATATATTAATCACCTTATTAATCCGGAGCGTAAGCGAAGGACTTTCCATGTACGAGCGATAGTAATGAAAAATGTCCATCTGTCCGCCCGCTTGAATCTTGAAACGATGCGTGATTGGTCCCTTTCGTTACACTTGTGCTCCGGACTTAACAACGGTTTCCCCTAGTTTAGTAATATACATAAGATCTCCGCCAAAGGAAGACATTCCTCAAAATATCTCAAATCACAAATTTTGTAATAAATACACGCGCTGCAGAATTTTTGCCAGTGTCAATTGGGGAGGTTTTTTGTTCGATATTTCGTATGGTAAAAACACATAATATAACAAAATGTTATAAATAGTACCACAAAATCATATAAAATGTTACATAGAATATTTTCTATAAGTTTTTTTTGTATTTAGCGTTCATGTCTATTTTAATCTAAAATTTTAATCCACTGTTTACGACGTATATTTAGAAATTTGAATATATTTTATATATCCTCTTTCAAAAATATTTAAAATCCCTGTAATCAACAAAGTTGAACTCATACATCAACGTGTCCATTATAATTTTTTTTTTTTTTTTTTTATTTATCTACAATTAGAAATAAATTGTTTTCCAATAAAAAGTTCTTCATCACGAAAAAAAAAAAAGAAATTTATCAAGGAAAGCCTTTTAGTGTCTACATTATATTTGATGTACTGAACCTGTTACTGAAAAATTCTAAGTCCTCATAATACTTGGTAAAAATGAAATGCGGAGAAAGTGACACTGTGACAAATTATATCACGTGAAATTTCGTGAAAAATCTAATAAAATTGCTCCAATTTTCATTTTCGCCGCAGCTTTTCGTGATAATTAAATTTTTCATCAAAATCAATGTTTTTTTTTTAGAATTTATTTAATAAAGATTTTAATTTTTTTTTTAAATTTATTTTAACTACGGTGGGGACAAATTTTTTTAAAAAAAAACTTTATTTTTTAAAATTTATTTTACTACGATTTTTTTTTTTAAAGAATTTGCTACGGAGGTTATAAATTATTTTGAATC